CCGATTAAAGGCATGCTTCTGTATTGTTATGCTGAATGAGAGTAAATGACTATTTTACCCATGTGTCTATAAGTGAAGCTGAACAAAGATCGACTGTTTGTTTGAGAAGTGTTATAGTTAATGAAGAATCAAAAGTCTTTATGTAACCTAAATCAATCTTGCCATATTTATATAATGATGTGAATGGGCTCATAAGTAACTTCATACTCAAAAGTTACCCAAAAAGGGAAATGTTACAATTGTCATGAGCATCCCAGATAGAAAATTATCCCAATTTTCCATTCGGACATTTCTTCATTAAGCCTTATTCATTTTATACATAAAACATCAATTTTACTTCTAAATTGCTATGATTATAACATTTTGATACTTTCTGCTGATTTATGACATTCAGGGAAGCTCAAACCTATCAATCTTAACAGAAACTGGAATCATACAAGCAGAAAGATGCAAGAAAGCTTTGTCAGATATACATTTTGACCAGTGTTTCTCCAGTCCAATTTCTCGTGCCAAGGTCCATATGAAACTATTGCTTTTGGCAAATTAAAGGGCTCTAATAAAAAGTAATATAAAAGTTAAAAAAAAAAAAAAAAAATGAAAGTACATTGCTATTTTTAGCCGTAATCTAAATTCATCAATTTTTTGTGATCCTGATGCAGTCGACTGCTGAAATCTTGTGGGAGGGGAGGGAAGAGCCGTTGATCTTTCTTGATTCATTGAAGGAGGCACATCTATTCTATCTTGAAGGCATGAAAAATGGTCAGCATATAGGACTTAATGGGGAAAGACTAATTTCTATGAATTTATCAATTAAGTCATTCTTTTTGCGTTATTATACTAAATGAGTTTCAGCGTTTGGAGGCAGAGGATGCTAAGCGAATATATCAAAAAGAGTACACAATGTGGAGACAAGACCCCTCCAATTTCAATGTAAACGGTGTTTATCCCGTTCGTCAACTATGGGACACTGCAAAAATTGCTTGGAAGGAAATCTTGTCTACACCCGTAAGAACTAACTCTTCGTTTACACCCGAAAGGGTATTTTAGTCATTTCACATTATGGCTAACACCTTTGTTTTTTAGGGAGAAAGTTTTCTTGTCGTGACCCATAAATCAATATTACGGGCGCTAATATGCACGGCTCTTGGACTAAGCCCCGAGA